GTTCATTGTTGCCAAATACAATTCAAGCTTGTTGTGCACACGAGATTGACAAGCCTTACTGAAAACATCATTAATATAACTCTTGACGACAATAGATCAAGCCAAAGTTTGAATACCATTTCTCCATGATGATCGATGAAATTTGAAGGATTTTGTAAAAAACGAAAAACAACATGCAAGCTTTGAGTTTCATTAACAAGGTTTTAACTTCTAAGAAAGGCTTCACAACCTTGAAAAGAAAAACTCCTTCATTTTGCATATCCTTGCACATTTGATATTTTATAGTAGTGTGTTGGTGCTTTTATATTAGGCACTTATTTTAGAGTATGTAGTACTTCAAGACAAATGTGTTTTATGTTTTGAAGTACTATTTATATGGCAATTTGGTATGTGCAAGTTAAAAAAAAAAAATTAACGGGTCGTAACATGTCAGGTCATTTTATCTGTTAGGTAAAATGACCTGAACTATTAAGAGCACGTTAAGATGATGAATGTGAGATGACACAACCTGTTAAGATAATATGTGTTATACGAAAACGACACGAACACGACAAACATGACTTGTTTACCGGGCCTAATGTGGAGTACCAGCTTGAAAACTGGGTACTTAGAAATTTTTCTCTATCAGTTAGCCTTTTAGGCATGTATGAGTAATGCTAGGGAGACTAAATTTTTAAACTAAATTTGCAAACTAAATGATGTGTCATAAATCGGAAGTAAGCACGTTAATCAACACTTAAGTAATAATTCAATTATCAATAACCACATCATTTATGTAGAACCATGATTTTCTAGAGTCGAGCTTAGCATCCACAAATCTAACCCATCTTTTCTTGTTATGCATCTTATGCGTATATGTAGGATAACTAATTTAACATGCTCGTAGGTTGATGACGTATTCCCTCTCCACACGTAGTATGAGAGTGAGGACTTTGGTGGACAACTGATGATACCCGTGGGCTCATAGCATAGATCTTCATTTATGAGCCTTCGTTCTTGGGGCTTGTCCTATACTCCCATGTGTAGCCCGCAATGCGCTCATTTGTCAAAATCGAATTTTATTTTTTCAAAACTTCAAACCATGCCCACATTATCCTAGTGTTATAATCAATGCAATAGATGATTTCATATGTAAATAATAGAGAGTAATTGCCACTTTGTACTAGATTAGCGGGTCGTACGAAAATTTAAAGCTTGAGAGAGATTTTAGTGTGCCTGAAACACGTCTTAATAGACTAAATATTTTAGTACAATTGATTGAAAATTAAATAAAATTCTTTTTCAACTTATTATATTAAAACACTTGAAATACTAAGTTGTGTTCTCACCGCATACAAAAATTTTCCTAAGCTTGATGCAATAAAATCAACTTTCGAAGGGGTGCGTCGGCCATGGACGACCGCACGCGGCACATAAAATAACCAGCCCCTAGAATTTGACTAACTGATGACCCATAGCAACTTTTAAAAATAGGGACACAAGCACAAAAACACATGTGTGGGTCCCATGAGCTTTTAAGTTAGGCTGTTTGTTGCGTTTCGTGGGGCAGAAGCGGTAAGCTGAAAGCTGTTTGTTTTAGATCAAAAATAAAAAATAAAATAAAAAAAGAAAGCTGTTTGTTTCAAAAGCTAGTAGGCAGCAACCAGTTCTAAACCAAACCACCTTACAAAGCACGTGCTATATTTTTCCAACGCACAGAAAAAACACACGAGGAAACTCGCACCACGCGTTAATGATTCGCGTGAGGTGCACCTTTTGCCCTCCCCCACGAAACCAAAACCAAGCTCCTGACGACGCACTTCCACTTCTGCCACGTGGGCCACACGACCGGATACGTGTATTTAATGTTAAAAGATTGAAAAAATAAAATATATTCTTGTTTTTCTTTTAGCAGATTTGTCGATTTCCTTACTAAACTTGTGTATTGAACTTTAATTTTAACGAATTATCTCTTGAATTTTTAGAATTAGTTAATTTTCTCATTTCTATTAATTAATGAAATTTTCTTTATCAACTAAAAAGGAATGAAAAGACTACTTAATCTTATATTACACAAAAAAAATATTGGGCAATAATGTAATTTCACAAGTCTAAATTTACCTCATCTATATGTGATGTTAAAATACTTCCAATATTAATAAAAAATAAAAAATAAAAATAAAAAAACCAAAAACAAAAACCTATCACTCACTTCACGTTCTCTCTCTCCCTCTCTCTGTCTCATTTTCTAAAAAAAAATGTGATCATACACACAAAATGTGTTAGGCAAATGTTAGTATAACTTAATTTTAGTCGATTACTTCTGAACTTATATAAATAGTTAATTTTTTCTTTAACGTTGAATTTTAAAATTTTTCATTCATTTTGATCACGTGAATAACACATTGTGACAGCCCGTCCCAGAAATATTACAACGTACGTGTGAAAAGACAAAATTGCCCCTAGTTCGATTTCTTCACGTTTATTAGTTGTTTTTGAGTTTGGTTGGCATGTTGTAGGCCACACACTTTCCCACACACCACAACCTTTCCTCCTGTTTCCTGCACACTGTCCCGAGTCCCCATTCCCTTCCCATTTCCTTTGAAACGTACGGACACACCCACAAACCCATCGAACCTTCACAGATCGTGGAAACCAAGACCATATTCATGCTCGTGAGGCTTGTAGGAGTCCAACCATACCTTTTTCAGGTAAGAATACCTTCGTTTTCACGTCGAATCCGCGATGCCCGATTTCGAGTACTGTTCATGCACACGTAACTTCTCACGTTTTAGGGAATTTCAAGCTTGTAGGAAGCTTGGTGAGATCCTTAGGAGGCTCGGGGTGGTTCGTTTGAAGGTTTTGGACATCGGGATCACGAGTTTCGAGGTTGGCCGGAGTTGGGGTGATTTTCCAGATGAGATTTCGTGGTTTTTAGCACTTGAAAGTGGTATGATTGTGTTCCTCTTGTTGTAAGCTTCATTTTGGTACCAATTTTGTGAAATTTGGTTGAAAAACGAAGGAGATATCGAAGTTTGAAATTTTCTCGATTTTCCGGCGCCGGAGGCTCACCGGAGAAGACAATGGAATATTCTGTCAAGAGATATCGAAGTTTGAAATTTTCCCGATTTTCTGACGCCGTTGACGGAAACCGTTAGGGATAACGGAATATTCCTAACGGCGTCAGTTGATGCCGTCAGCGTGCCAGGCACGTGCCTGCGCGTGGCCGGTGCGTGCAACGGTGAAAAATTATTTTAAAAATATGGGGATGTTCCTGAGGTTGAGTAGATCACGTTGGTGTATTCATACACCCCATTTGAGCATTGTATGAGAAGTTATTTCTAAAGGTTGGTTATGTGCTTTAAAATTAACGTTTTTACAGTTGTTTCGCATATAGGTGAGACGTATCCCGAGGACGAGCGTGGTCACTTGAGGTAGGGGGGTTACGACCCTTCCACTTACTAGTGAGTGGGCTTTTGGTTTTCCGTATATACCTATATACTTGTATTTTTCCTCAAAAATTGGTTTGAATTGTCATTTGCCATATGCCATGCATTAGATTATCGTTATTTATGCATCGTTAGTTGCCTTATTAGTTGTATATATATACATATGCATATTGGGTGCTGCGAACGCATAGGTAAGTGCCAGGTAAGTGTTATTCATGTTTACATTCAGTAGCGATTCGAGATGCTTAGAGAGCTCATAACCTGCACCTCCCGCACCACACGCTCAGCTTGGATCCAAGTTAGGTGCACAGTCCTGTCGTACAGACCACATTAGGTGGTTCGGACTCGTAGGTGACCCGCGATTATTCGCACAGCCTTCACGTGATCGTAGCACTAGAGCGTTTATATGTATTACACCCAGGCCTGTCGTACAGACCACTTTAGGTGGTTCCGACTCGTGGGCAGGTTTAGTTAGTTATTGAGATTTGAGCTCTAGATTCAGCCGTACAGGTCACGTTAGGTGACTCCGACTGCCAGACTATATGATATTGATATGATTTTCACCTGAGCACTTGCATTTCATTGTGTGATTTGGCATGGCATATCCTGAAGCATGATTGGTATATATATATATGTACATATGTTTATTTTCTGGGAAGTATACAGGTTTTACCGCGAGGGGTTAGAACTTATTTGTTAAATGGTTTTCGAAAAGCTTTGTTTTTGCCCACTCACGTTTTTGTTTTGCGCCCCTCCAGGTTCTAGTTGGCTAGCACGTTCGGTGGTTTCCAAGAGGGCTTTCCCGACATATCTGACAGACGATCACCAGCGTAGGATCACCTTCGGGTGTACTGTTGTTGCTTCATTTTCCTTTGGACTGCTTTAGGCTTATTGCTCTGAACTTGTGTCCCACTTACGCTAGCACTTGTTCTATTACCTTATGTATGCTAGTTTTTATTTATTCGTCACATGACATCTATATGTTGGCCCAAATGAATCTATGTGGCCAAAAAAAAATTAGATGGATGAAAATTAGATGAAAATTTTAAAATCCATTGCTAGAATGGGGAATTGGCAATTTAGAAAATTTTAAAGGTAATCGATTAAAGTTAAAGTTGAGAGGAAAAATTGACAATTATAAAAAGGAAAACTAATGAAAAGAACTTGAAAACTTTGAGTTTTAACAAAAATGACAAAATAAATGGTAAAGTGAATAGTATCAAAATTGATTTTTAGTGTAAAAATATGATTTTTTGTTAAATTAAACAGTATCAAGAGCTTTTTGTTAAAATTATCTTATAAAAATTCATGAAAATAATCAGCTATATTTAAAGTTAAAAAACAAAAAAAAAAAAAAAAAAAAAAAAAAAAGTAGCACATATGTACAGGACAAGCCGACAAATACTTGCTCTGTTTTGGTTTTTTTAATAAAGTAGGGCAAAATACCAAAGTGAAGTGCGAAAGCAAAACAGGGAGGATTTCCATATTTCTTTGTCGTCGCAAAGAAATTAAAACATAAGCGTTTTTCAGAAGCAGAAAAAAGGCGTATTCTTCCAAAGGAATCAGGTTTCGACGCCCCCCGTTTCGTTTCGTTCCGCTTCTTCTTCTTCTCCACGCAAAAAGCAGAGAGCAATCAGCACAAGCAGCAACAAGAAGCAGCGAAGATGCATTCGAATCACCTTCTTCTAGAAGAGCCAATCCGGATGGCCTCAATTCTCGAGCCATCCAAGGCTGTAAGTAAACTCAAATCCCTAATCCCTAATTCGATTTTTGATTCAGATTTGGTTTGTGAATGTTTTTTTTGTTCGTTAATTTAATACTTTGGTAATTTTTGCAGACTTTTTTTCCTGCAATGACGAAGATTGTGGGTACGCTCGGCCCCAAATCTCGATCGGTGGAGGTTATCGCTTCCTGCCTCAATGCTGGAATGTCTGGTATGCGATTTTATTCGCCAAAAGCAAATTAAATTTTGAATCTTTCGTTTTTTTGTTGGGTTTTGTTTAATGGATTTGAATGGTCTGGTTGGCAGTGGCCCGATTCGACTTCTCGTGGGGCAACCCGGAATATCACCAGGAGACTCTGGAGAATCTCAAGGCCGCTGTTAAGAGTACTAAGAAGCTTTGCGCTGTATGTTTTCTTTTAACTTTTAAGGGGATTTGATTTGTTGATTTCTTTTGTTTGCCAATTCCCATGCATGCCTGTGTTTTTCAGTTGTAAACAGTTTAATAAATGAATGAAGGCATTTATTTTTGTCTGTTGATCCTTGTTTTTCAGTGAATCCCGACATCGGATTAATCTTCTGCTTGTTTAGTTTTGATCTTTGGGACTATTTGAGAGTCATTCAACTGTTCTTTGGTCAGCATTTTTGAAAGAAATGAGAAACTCAATTATGAATTGCTAACAGGACAAATCTTCATAGTTTAACATCTGAGATTGCCATCAAAATATTTACTAACTGTGTTTTTAACAACTGTGGTTTTCTCCTTTTTGTGTGCTGAGTAATAGGAAGAATAAGCTAGTGACTGCATGCTAATGTTTGGCTGTTTATCAGGTTATGTTGGACACTGTGGGTGCTGAGTTGCAAGTCGCCAACAAAACTGGGAATCCTATTTCACTCCTTGGAGATGGACTCGTTGTTCTGACACCAGATCGTGGACAAGAACCATCCTCAGAGCTATTGCCCATCAATTTTGATGGATTGTCAAAGGTTTGCCAGCACCTATCATTTTATCACGGCATGCAGGACTTGGTTGAATATATAACAAAATTGATGAACAGGTTCAAAAACTAGTCAAGGTTAGGTTTAGGTCTCTTACTACTTATAATGCTGAAATCCGGTGGAGACGTTCATAGCTTTGGACATTGCGTTTCACCAAAATAAGTGAGGTTTTAGTAACAATGACTAAAATTGATGAACTTAAGCCTGTGAATATGAAGTTGATTGATGGCCCACGGTTTGGAGAACTTTTCCCAGTACTGTTTTCTCTTTGTTGTACATCACCAATAGACTTCTATTCTGCTGGTAATGCTTGAAATTATGGATCTCCTGATGACAATAAAGTAATTTGAGTGGCGCCATCACTAGTTTGAATTACGTGTTCATATATGGAAGACAGAGTCAGACCTATGTGTTCTCATGGTGACAGTAGGGATTATCTCAAAATGTCTCCCTTTAAGATAATAGAAATTTTTCTTTTACCTCTTAATGAGTTGGACACTGCAAGTTTCTATTATTATGTTGTTTTAGTTTATGTTATTTATTCATTTTTGTAGTAGTCCATACCGACATAAAATCTCCATAATATCACAAGTCAATCTTCAAATTGTTTTTGCAGGCGGTGAAGAAGGGAGATACCATTTTTGTTGGTCAGTACCTGTTCACTGGAAGTGAAACGACTTCTGTATGGTTGGAGGTAAAACATATATAGTTGGAGAATAAACTTGATAAAGAAATCTTTTTAGTTTGCTTCCCTGAAATTCCCCCACCCCTGAATCTGAAAAGTCCTGTTTCCACTGAAGAAAATCTTCACTATGGTCCAGTTGTTCGGAGTAAATTAGTATATGAACAAACCTAAAGGAACTTTACATAATCATTGAGGGAAGTTGGAAGGTCATGATTGGCTGATAATTTTTATTTTCAATTGATCAGGTTTCTGAAATAAAAGGAGATGATGTTGTCTGTTCTGTTAAGAATTCTGCAACATTGGCTGGTTCATTGTTCACTTTGCATGCGTCTCAAATTCACATTGAACTGCCTACTCTCTCTGATAAAGATAAGGAGGTAAGTTATTTTAACTTGCTGCCCTGACTACTTTTAATAGGTTTGTATAGAATGATTCAAGTCTCTATTAGTTCATTTTGGCCTGATGCCTTGACTGATTTATTGAGTGCTTGAATTCAATGCTTAATTCAAGGTTATAAGTAGTTGGGGACTTAAAAACAAAATCGACTTCCTGTCATTGTCATATACCAGGCATGCAGAAGATGTTCGCCATGTAAGTGTGATTCCAAGTTCCATGTCCTTGTATCAAGTCTCAACATCTGAATACTTTATATTATTTCATCATTTTTGAAGTGGGTTGTGGGAATAACTTGAGTATTGTTAATGGTATAATGCAGGCTCGTGAGTTCCTGAATAAGTTGGGCGACCTCAGTCAGACACAAATCTTTGCTAAGATTGAGAATATGGAGGTGAGGTTCATCTATTTTCAGTTCAGAATCTCAATTTTCCAATGACAATGCTGAGTACTGAATATTTATGTTTTTGTTTTGTTTTGTCTTGTTTTTATGCATTAGGGATTAACCCATTTTGATGAGATTCTGCAAGAAGCTGATGGTATCATCCTCTCCCGTGGGAACTTGGGCATTGATCTCCCACCAGAGAAGGTCAATTTCCTTAATTTTGAAGTAGAAGGTGTTTAAATATTTATTTGTTTTAAAAGAAGTGAATAAACTTTTTGTCTTTTACAGGTCTTTTTATTTCAAAAGGCTGCCCTTTATAAGTGTAACATGGCTGGAAAGCCTGCTGTGGTTACTCGTGTTGTGGATAGTATGACCGACAACTTGAGGCCAACCCGTGCTGAAGCAACTGATGTTGCAAATGCTGTATTGGATGGTGCGTCCCTATTTGACTCAACGAGTGCTTTAGAGACTACTTGTTAAGGCCCATTGAAGGGTTTACTTTATTATGGTTGCATCTACTAATGTCTTAGATATTCTCTTATTTTTTGTTACTGTTTGCCATTGTTTGCAAGTGCTCTGTTGACTAGAAAAATACGTTCTTTGTTTCCTAACTTAATTGTCTTGTGGGTGCAGGAAGTGACGCAATTCTTCTGGGTGCTGAGACTCTTCGTGGTTTGTACCCTGTCGATACAATCTCTACTGTTGGTAAAATTTGTGCTGAGGTAATCTTTTACTTGTAATTTTATTAATTCTTTGTTTGGTAACTTTCTATATCAATGCATATCATTTTAGTATATTGAGGATGATTGCCTGTGCTGGACATGTCATTAAATTGGCTTATCGCAATGCACTAAGTATGAAAACCACATTTTGTTTCATTTCCTTTACAAGTATAGTCTTTCCCAATTTTAATCCATGCAGGCAGAGAAGGTTTTCAACCAAGACTTGTATTTTAAGAGGACTGTCAAATATGTTGGAGAGCCAATGACACACTTGGAATCTATTGCGTCTTCTGCGGTATGACTTTTAATATGTTGCTCTTCTGATAATTTTATGTTGCCTCCTTTTGTAGTTAGTATTCTGGATGAAATTATTGCATGATTTTGTTTGGTACTTGAATTGCCAATGTTATCACTGTCTAGGTACGAGCAGCGATTAAGGTGAAGGCATCTGTTATTATTTGCTTCACTTCTTCTGGAAGAGCTGCGAGGTGTGTATTTGGTATCCTTGGAAATGCAGAGTTATCTGTTTGTAATTAATTTATTCTGATGTTTGGCATTAATAAGACAATCAATTTATGCTTCTTTTTATTGGCGAATGTCCTCAATTCTTTTAAGTCGTTCGTATTATGCAGATTGATTGCAAAGTATCGACCCACAATGCCAGTTCTTTCAGTTGTCATTCCCCGACTCAAGACAAATCAGCTTAAGTGGAGCTTTACTGGAGCCTTTGAGGTGTGCCCTTGACTCTTGAGTCTTTGATTAACTTCTAGTTCAATTACTGCTATGAAGTCTATCATAATGCATGCCATTTTGTGGTTCTTTTTCCTAAACTTATTTGGAAGTGCATTACATGTGCAAAGTTTGATGTATAGAAGATTGTTATCCATTCTTGTGAGATGGAAAGGTCTTGATGCTATGCATCTGTTCACTAAAGAGTCCAAGAAAAGTAAAGATGTTTACCAGTTTAATCACGACATTGCTAAATGTGAGTCGTAAAAAGCTTCTAAATCTCATGCATAATTTAAGCGTCATGTCAAAATCCAGGTCTATACTTTTGTTAGCTCGTTATTAATTAACTCCATTATGCTTTATGGGAAAGACAATGTTAGAATTCATAAATTGCAGCTGTAATATGGCTAATTAAATATCGCACATGATCAGATTTAGTAAGAATGCTATGCTCTGCTTCAAATGATTTCTGACTTGGGTAAAAAATGGGATATCTATGAAGTGTGACTTTTTTTGTAGAATTAAAACTCGTTTTAGAAGTTTGCATGTTAAAAAATGCATATTACTTATACCCATTCTTCTATTATCTGTTCTCTTATCATTTTAATCTGTAACCTCTTCCTAACTTCTTTTTCTCAATAACATACCAATTTGCAGGCAAGGCAATCACTTCTAGTCAGGGGTCTGTACCCTATGCTTGCTGATCCTCGACATCCTGTAAGTACCTTATTCCTGTAAATAGCGAAGGTCGTATGTAAATTTATAGATCTGTGGTTTCTGCTAGTTAACGTGATAGAGGGTCTTGAGTATCTATATTCATACTAAACTAGCTTGATCACTACACTTGAACATTGAGTTAGGTCTGCATGGTACTTGGAGCCACGAATGTTTGGCAAATAAGTATCCTTTTCTCTATTTTGGCACACCCTTGGTGGTGAAAAGAATGGGTTTGAGATCCAATTTTAATCACCACTCACCTGTATTGTTATTTCTCGGCCCGAGTGTTCAGACCCTGTCCTACCTGTTTGTAATGAGTTTGACTATAGATGCAAACCTGTAATTACCCTTTAGGTGGAATGTTGCGTTGGTCCTGCGTGGATCTTTTTCAGTAAATAATGCATGTTTGTTTATAAGCATGACAAGTAATAGTGCTATCAAACATTTAGTTTGTTACAGGTTTTACCATGGTATTGATCTAGTGTCACTCAATTTGTTGCCCCATATGTGATTTTGCAGGCCGAGTCTACCAGTGCAACAAACGAGTCAGTTCTAAAGGTCGCCCTTGATCATGGAAAGGCATCCGGAGTGGTTAAGTCACACGACCGTGTAGTCGTTTGCCAGAAAGTTGGTGATGCCTCTGTAGTCAAGATTATAGAGCTTGAAGATTAGAATTCTTCTTTACCCTCATTTTTGAGGCGTAATTTCCTATCTTCTGTTTTCGTGTCGGGAAATGGACCAATCATATCGCCCTCGAGGTTTATAGCCCTCAGGTTTTGGAGGCTTGGTAGTTGATTAATTGTTCTATGCACACAGTTGTAGTCATGGTGTACATGACCCCCCCTAAAAACAAAAAACAAATTTTGTGTTTACATATCAAAGTCGTTCAAGTCTCCAATAAAGATGGTTTTTTGTGATATTTGTTGTTCGGTTTTTTCAACTGAGATATTCGCCTTAAACTGAATGTTGTCCAAAGCGTAACACGACACTGAAAGACTGAGATTGGCACTTGACATTGCAAGTATGGAGTTCTGCTACATCCTTTCGGTTCTTAGCGAAATTGTCTATCTGAAACAATTAATGTCTTTCGTAACCAAAAGGAACAAAAAGGAGTTGCTTTTCTCGAATCTTCAAGGAGCAAGGGAAAAAGAAACAAGCGACCATCCAAGAAGAATAGATCATAAACACAAGGAAGCATCCAAAGAGCTTGGAGTGAAATTGGAGGTCCTCCACTTGGGTCATGACCTTGTAACATAGGGATGAGCTCAAGGGTAATGAACGTACTATATTTCCTCTTTTTTTTTTTTTTTTGTAAAGAGCCATTCACTAGGTTTCGAAAGTGTTAATATGTATGCATGTATACTCAAATGTTCTTAGTTAAACAAAAAATTTCCTTTAGACATAACACGTGCTAGCCTTAGTAGATTGTCCTACGGCTAAGATCATTTTAGGAATGAACATAAGAGAAAGGTCTCGTTGATCTAACTTACTTAGATCACTTCTCTCTTAAGTTGATTACATTCCTTGGATTATGTTATTGATTACACACAATACATTAAATAGTGATTAACAAAAAACAATGCCATTCCATTAAACTAAATAAGAGTTTGACAAAATAAGTTTTCCAAAAGATATTACATCAAACGAGTGGCTTTAAGGGGATATTTCTAACAATTAAGCCACGTTCTTTCGTTAAACATCAACAAAAAATATTGGCCGAATTGGAAAGAGGAAATTCCACTACAATATACTATGAACGTGGAAAAATGGAACAATACAAATCCTAAAGATGTTAAAACCAAAAGGTTATATATGGGCATTTGCAATACAGTGAAATACACTCACATAATATGATACAAGGTTTCTAGTTGAAATCTAAAATCATGATATACTCCTGTAAGCATGATTTCCCATTATGAAACGAGTTCATTTCATATGAATGGAAAGTTATATATTATACGAAAGGTTATGAAATGCCGAAGCATATCTCCATTGGTAATTCCCTGAAGTATACATAGAAACAAATTGCTCTGTATAAATTCCAAAGGATAATGTGTCATAAAGTGTAGAAAATCCCTGAAGAATACGACACAAGCTATGGAAGCGCAAAACACAAATTCTGTACTCAACACCAATAGATGGTATAAATTGCCTTAGTCAATATTTTCATTCTAATATTGATCCAACACACTAAATCTCTTACAAGAATTGATATTAGATTGAGACTTTTGAAGAGTCTAGAAATGTTATAAAGTTTTAAAAGACAAATTTTGTCTCAAGTTGCAAATCGAGCAATATGTCAACGTGATTCTTGTCCATCAAAAGGAAAACACCATATCAATGGATTATCATTGGTTGAGCACTAAAACGATTAACCAATATTCAGACACTAAGAAAAATCATTCATCATCATGAGGAAAATGATACATTCATACTGAGCCCAAAGTATCATATCATAGTAAAATATGTGTCGTACTGTATTTAGCAAAATACACTAAATCAACTGTTACATTTTCTGTGAAGCACAATATCAACATATAGGTATATGAATGATATGAAGCTTATCAATTATTATCTCTGACAAATTATAAATATGTACTTGTTCTATTCCAATGCACTCGCTAATATCCATGATTTTATTTGGCAAGCAAAATTTGAATCTCTCTAAAGATCGCTCACTTAAAGGATTTGTACTTACATATTGAAATAGATTGATCCTACAATGCTTAACGAAGCAAACATTTGTTGCTACATCTTCATATCTCTAAAAAAATACATATCTTCATGAAGCTAGTCATGAATGTGTTTAATTAAGACCAATGACCTATTCATATTCTGAGCACATGTGATCTATTTTTAGAAACAAAACTCCAACTACCAGATATAAAGATAAAACAAAATGGAATGATTTATCATAAGGGACAAGACTAAAGTCATGTCTCCAAGTTTTCCTCTCACATGAGCTTTAGAAGGTTGAAGCAATCAAAGTTAGACAAATCTCATTCTAACAGTAATATGATGAACTCATTCACCAAATCTCTATTAAAGTGTACATTTCAGAATCTGGTATATAGAATCAACAGCCAACAACTGAACAAGTTGCTTCATTAAAGCTTATTATAATCAGGGAGAGATATCGATAAGAGGGAGCATCCAAAATATGCAACTTTTTTGAACATATACACACATGTACTATTGTATCACATTTGGTCTTTCCTAACAAGGTTGTATTAAGGTGACTATCAATGATATGTAGGCATCTGATTGGGAAGTGTTGAGAATACCGGTGTTCTAAAAATCAACCTAGACAACCACCTAGGTGCTAGACGGTGGCCAACTGTCGGGATTAACCTAGTAGTCGGTAGAAAATTGAGAAAGGAATGGGGCGGGCACCGTGGCGACTTGAGCGGCTCTTGGGAGGCCTAGGTGGGCGACTAGATGACCTAGGCAATCTAGGCATTTCAATTCCTTTTTTTGTTTTCGACTGGATGGCCAAGTCGGGAACAATGCGGAGCTCTGTCTGTGTTCTTGGTTTTAAATTCCAGCGAAGAAGAGAGGAAGAAGAAGAAAGAAAACGAGTTTCCCTCTCCCTTTTCCACCCACGTGACCATTCTCAAGTCTCACCGTTTTATATTTAACAATTTTTTAATTTTTTTTTTTCCAATAAAAAGGGGACAGCTAGCATCCTAATTGACTGAACATGTATTATGGAACATCTAGCATCCTAATAATTGAACGTGTATTAAGAATGGTGCCCCACCTCCCTCCGTTCCATGCGTCTTGGTTTCCTTCCCTCTTTTTTATTTAATACTTTTTAAACTGTTGATTAAATGTTTTTACACCCACACGCTTAACAACTTCATGCTTATTATATTAACACCTCATAAATTGTTGAATAAACTTTACATACCTAATACACCTTATGTAACATCTCATATCGCCCAGGGGAGTGGATCTTGTAAGCCTTATATGTATATTCTCATCTCTACCTAGCACGAGGCCTTTTGGGAGCTCACTGGCTTCGGGTTCTGTAGGAACTCCGAAGTTAAGTGAGTTTGCACGAGACCAATCTCAGGATGAGTGACCCACTGGGAAGTTCTCGTATGAGTTCCCAGAAACAAAACCGTGAGTGCGTGGTCGGGGCCCAAAGCAAAATATCGTGCTACGGTGGAGTCAAGCCCGGAATGTGGTGGGGGTCCGGGCCAGGATTTGACACCTTACATTTACTTTTTCAATGAAAAATTATCTTAATACACCTCACATACTTCCCCATAATACCTTCACACCTCACATTCTCAATATACACTTTACATTTTCTACATGCATCCCATATTTTCTATATTCCCCACATTTCTCTAATCTTATAAAGCTTTTAATTTTGACAAAAAATGTCGACTAGAATTTTGACAAAAGATGCCGCCTGGGATTTAAAGCATATGTGGGTTGTTTTCAATTCCACCATTAAAACCCATGTTGTCTGTTTTTAATATTTGGTGGTAATTTTAGGTGTTTAATTCTTCATGTTATCCATGTAATCCTAAAAGATGAATACTAACATAGAAGTTTGAATAACGTAGCAAAAGCAAGATTAAATAATTATCGATGTCGTCAAAATCACTAAAACAATAAAGAATATGAAGTCCTACCTCTTATGGAGTTTCTAAAACATCGATTTCGTGTTTCATTTGTCAAAAATAATTTTTCTCAATCAACATGTTTGTAGTTTCATTGATTAGGGTTTTGTTCAACAATGCAAGGTCGAAGGGATTTTGATAGTTGAAGAAGATAAATAATAAGTTAAAAGTGATTTGGGGTGTATTTAGAAATTAATTTTTTTTTTAAACCTTATAAGGTCAAAATTGTTATTGCATACTAGGGTAAATAAATCATTTAATATTAAATTTTAATGTATGGTATATTCAACATTTTGTGGGGTGCTAATATAAAAAGCCTTCCCTTTAAATGCACTATAAATATGAATTTATAATATTTGAACAAAATATTTCATAAAATATTACAGATTAGTAACCATTCTTTCATATGGATTTATTAAATTCACCATTGTACTAAATATATATATATATATATATATATATTACAGACCAAATTGAATTAAATCCGTCTAGTGCCACTCAGTACTACGTCTTGTGGTATTCTTCTTCACTTATAAGTGAGAGGTCTCAAGTTCGATTCTCGTTGACGGCAAATCCGATACCAAATTACGTTGTCCATTGTGTGGCTAAACCGAACTCTCCCCTCCCCATAGTGTAAAATATATAGTTGTACTAAATTTTTTTTTTAAATTTGCCTAGTCTGCCTAGCCTCGTCTAGGCACCTAGGCGTTAGGCCCCAATCCACCATTCGACTAACGCCTAGCGTCTTTTAGAACATGAAGATGAAGAAGACAAAACAAGTGGTGGACGAGAAAGTGTCCACTAAAATAAATGTGATTAGTATACATATGTTAGGTGAAAAAAGTATTTCATGACTCCATTGTAATTCCCTATATAAAGGGATTGGTTTGTAAGGAAGACAAACCAATTTTCATCAACTCTATGTGAGAGCAAGAGTGCTACTCGAGGCCAAAGAGGAGGGAAAAATTATGAGCTACTTTAGTGATATTATATACACTAAAGTGAGAGTTATCTTTGTCTTCCTATTATTTCAGATAATGAAAAAAATTCCGAAAATGTAGATACAATCGCCAAACCTCATAAGTATTGTGTCTTATTTAATTTATGTATCACCACACGTATATCGTCTCTTTTACAACAAGTAATGACTTTTGCAAACCCCTTTTGTCACCTGCACACATTTACTTATTTTTGGACTTTGAAGTTGAGACATTTGGCTATTTTTTGGACATTGGAGTTGAATAAATTGATTAGAGAATTAACAAGAAGAAATAAACATGCAT